TTATTAGAGCATAAGCTTTCGTGGACTAAGTGGGTGTTAGTCCACGAAAGCTTATGCTCTAATAAATTTGTTAGTCTCTAAGGTGCCACAAGTACTCCTGTTCTTCTATTTATTTAATTGTGCCATTATTGGCCTGCTAGATTCTGCTTTGCTCAAAAAACAGATTCATAGCTTCAGTCTTGTATTAATTTTTTTGTATTAATTAATTGTAGTTTCACTTTATTGTTTTAAACTTAACAGTGAATAACATCCAGCCAATCATAAACCTTATTTATTGGCACAGATTTCAATTGGTTAAAACTAGTCATGCCCACATCCAAGCTGCAGGCACTCCTTACACAAATACCCAATCACTCACCCTATAAGAGGCTCCCAAGCAACCTCAACCACAAATTTCCAAGGCCAGGAGACGAGGAATACAAAAATAGCAGAAAAGAAGGGAAGGATGCACATCACATCGGAGTACAAGCAAGTGAGGATTAAGCTTTTCCTAGAGACTGTGCAGTGCTGTGAGGTTAAAATTTGAATAATAGGAGACTGAGGAAGGAGGAACGGATTCTCAGCCCTTCATGTATGACCCAACAACCACTTGGAATTTGCCAATTCCTGAAACTCTGAACTGAGCCTAAAGTACAATTAAAAACCTATGGCTTGCCCATGTCAGCTGACTCAGGCTCAGGGACTGAGTGTTTAATGGTGGTGTAGACGTTTGGGCTCGTGCTGGGGCCCAGGCTCTAGGACCCTGAAAGGTGGGAGGGTCCCAGAACTCAGGATGCAGCCAGAGCCCAAACGGCTGCACTACAATTAAACAGCTCCTTAGCCCGAGCCCCACAAGCCCAAGTCAGTTGGCGTGAGCCAGCCACGGGGGTCTAATTGCAGTTTAAACATACCCTAAGGGTTTGTCTAGGATTTAAAAAAAAAAGTAACAGCAGCAAGTTCCAGAGCCCAAATCAGCTGACTGAGGCTTATGTCACAGGGCTAAAAATAGCAGCATACAGGTTCCCACTGGGCAGCTCTAGCTCTGAAACCCAGCAAACGGGGGTGGTCTCAGAGCCTGAGCTCCAGCCCAAGCAAGAATGTCTACACTGCTATTTTTAGCCCCATAGCATGAGTTCCCTGTGCCTGAGTCAGTTGCCCTGGGCTCTGAGACTCACTACAGTGTTTGTTTGTTTTTAGGGTAGATGTAATCTAAGGGATCCTACTCTATGGACACAAACTGCAATGGCTATCAGAGTCTTCTGCCACCATTTCCCAGCATGTTTCCAGTCAGAGTTGGGGACAGAATAGACTAAGAACTCCTGCTGAGGCCAACAGGGAAGCTTCTGCATGGGGGGATATGGACAGGTAGTTTGCTGGTCCAGCCATGAACCAGGTTTCCTCAGAACCTCAGTGGGAGGGAACAGCCTGACTCAGAAACAAGAGACTAGTTTTAGTTTCAGTCTTGAACTTTGACTGGTGAGAGCGGAGAGAAAAGCAGAACAGCTCAGGGAGTCTCTGATTAACTCCTCCTCCCAACAAACGGGATTGTGGAACTGCTGCGGAATCTAGTGCATGGGTCAGGCAATTCCAGTCCTGCAGAGAGCAGTGTCCATAGTGGCAGAGATAAAACCCAGTGGAAGCTACTGGTAGACAGCCATGACCACCAAAGGTCACCAGCCCAGGGACCCATGAGAGGACCCTGCCCCAGCCAGGGGTGAAGACTCAGTCCGGAGACCTTTATTATGTAAGCCAGCCAATGTTCATAACACTCATCTCCACATTAGGGTTGCCAGGTGTCCAGTTTTCGACCAGAACACCTGGTCAAAAAGGGACCCTGGTGGCTCTGATCAGCACTGCAGACCAGGCCATTAAAAGATTGGTTGGCAGGGCTGTGAGTCTAAGGTAGGCTAGTCCCTACCTGTCCTGGCACTGCGCTGTGCCCCAGAAGCAGCCAGCAGGTCCGGATCCTACGCGCGGGATGGGGGGAGGAACAGGACGGGACTCTACACATTGTCGCTTCCCGAAATACCGGCTCCACCTTCCCACTGGCTGGGAACTGCGGCCAATGGGAGCTGGGGTGGTGGTGCCTGCACCCTGAGTGTGAGAGCAGCATGCAGAGCCTCCTGGCCCCGCTGCCTAGGAGCCAGACCTGCTGGCCACTTCCAGGGTGCAGCGCAGAGCCAGGAGAGGCAGGGAGCCTGCCTTGTGCCTTGGCACCATTGAACGGGAGCCCCCAGAGATAAGCCCGTGTCCCAATCCCAAGCCCCAACCCTCTGCCCCAGCCTTCAGCCCCCTCAACCCCAATCCCCTGCCCCAGCCTTGAGCCCCCTCAACCCAGAGCACCCTTGTGCACCCCAAACCCTTCATCCCCAGAGTCTGCACCCCACCTGGAGCTCTCACCCATCCTGCACCCCAACCCCCAGCCCAGAGCTCCCTCCCACACCCTGAACCCCTCATCCCCGGTTCCTCCCCAGAGCCCCCACCCCAGAGCCCATACCCCCTCTTGCACGCCAACCCCACCTCAACCCACAGCCCCCTCCCACACTCCGAAGCCCTCAGCCCCACCCCTGAGCCTGGAGCCCTCTCCTGCACCCAAACCCCTGATCCCCAGCCCCACCCCAGATCCTGCACCCCATCCGGAGCCCTCACCCCCTCCCGCACCCCAACCCCCTGCCCCAACCCAGTGAAAGTGAGTAAGTGGGGGAGAACAAACCACCGAGAGAGGGGGAATGTGGTGAGCAGGGGGGTGTCCTCTGGGAAGGGGAAGTCTAGGGTGTTTGGTTTTATGCAATTAGAAGGTTGGTAACCTTACTCCACACTCTCCTCAGCTTATAGTTGTCTGGGAAGGTGCCAGTGAGGGAGCTGGGACTTGGAAGAGTCGTGAGTGTTGGGAGCTGGAAAATTTGTTCATTTATTAATGTTGAATATTTTTTAGTTAACCCTAAC